CCTCCGCTCAGTGCAGCAAGACGACACTGCCTTGCCAAGCCCCTGGCTCGTCTCCACCTGCTCCGCCTCCCTAAGGGCCTGCCCCTACGCCATGCGCGGCACAAGCCCCATCCCAGCCTGGCGCCCCAGTCCCCATAACTGCCAACCCCCCCCACCCCGGAACTGGGCCCCTGGCAGCACACAGCAAAACTCGAGACACGGGTCTGTGGGCCAGGGCCCCCAGGGACTCCCCTCTCCCCCTGACTCCTGAACGGTGCAGAATGGCGAGACCAGGCAGCTGCTGGAGCCAGGGCGAGATCTGGCTCCCAGACCAGGCCCAGGTGGCCTTTTCTCTCCAGCTCTCTTTGGGGCACAGATGGGATTAAAAGCTCCCACAACTGAAGGGTCCGGCTGCCCCCGAGTCCGGCTCCTTCCCAAGCTGGCAGCGTGGCTGGAGGGGGCGGTTTGGGCGTACGCGTCAGGGACTGCTTCTCCCTACACCCACAGGTCCCAGCCCCACGAGCCGCCAGTCCCGGTGGTCCTGCAGGGACTGCCCCCACTCACCTGGTGCCGGTGGCTGGCTTTGGCACGGCAGAGGGCACCGCCGCAGTGGGCGTCTTGACGACGGGCAGGTGAGGGAGCTGCGGCCGCTTCTCTCCCATGCCAACAGGGCGGAGCGCTGTCGGGCAGCCCTGGGGAGGACACAGCCCACTGTGAGAACCTCTCGGCCCGGCCAGCACACGCCGAGCAACATCAGACCGGTGGCAGCCCCACAGACCTGCCCCCCTTGGGGTCTGCCCCCTCCAGACACCAGCCATCACAAGGGCAGGGAGCCATCTTTGGCCCAGTCCCCACGCCAAGACCCAGGAGGCAGGCACCGGAACACACCCTGTGCCCTTCCGCCCGACTGGGCCATCGAGGCCTCACGAGGCTGACCGCAGGGACTGCGTTTCATCCTACGGCTCACGCACAGCTTCCTCGGTGCCGCAGGCCTCGCAAGCCACGTGCGTCCCGCCCGGCGAAGAACAGAACGGGCAAGCCAGAGCCACAAAAGCATTAAAGCCTGGGACAAGGGTGGGGAACCTGGCTCGGTCTCAAGGTCAGGGGGGGTGGAGAAAAAGATAGTTTCCCGTCTCCTGATGAGGTGAAAATCACCACCTCTGTGTCCGTGGCCTCGTGGTTAGAGCAGGGCCCTGGATCTGCCACAGTGCGAGCGTGTACGACTCACGTCACCGCTGGGCCTCAGTTTCCCCGGTATGTAAAAGGGGAAGGACACCTGACTGCAAACGGGGCTCAGGGGGCTTGGTGCACAGGTGTGTGAAGAATTCGGAAAAGCCAAACATGAGAACTGACGTGCTAGGAAAATAAGGACCTTTTCCACAGGGTCCCATGGCACGGCCCCAATCCCTCCATTTCTCATGCCCCGTGAGAGCCCGGCGGCAGCTGCCATGCCGGAGCCCGGCCCCACTGGCAGAAGGCAGCACTCTGGAGTGCCTGCTCTAGAACACGGCCGTTCTAGATCAAACAGGTTCCGATTTCGGGCAAACACCGCCCGGTTTTGAGCCGAAAATACCCTGCCCAGACCCACAGGACTCGTTCTGCAAACCCCTCTGGTTCCCGGCGTGCCAGGTCGGGCGCCAGGCTGCATGGTACACCCTCTCCTGCTGCATCTCAGCTGGATCCTACGTGGCTCCGCGCCTCCTGCTTTCCCCTCTCCTGACGGACTCGCAGCAGAGCCCATTGCGGGTGGCACCTCTGGCCCGGGGCCTCCGGTGTGCAAGGCGGGGGAAGGCATGGCCTTCCCAAACCACCAGCCTGGCCCAGCGCCCGCCTGCCCGGTGCTGGAGAAGCTGGGCCAGGCCACACGGTGCGGCACGCCCTCCTCCCTTCCCTGGTACTCCAGGGCTGGAGAGGCCGGGCTGGGCCATGCGCCCTCCTCTGGGGCTAGCGCATGCCTGTCCACTCCCCTTCTCACGGTTGGAAGGGGGGAGCACACGTGCGGCATGCTGCCCCGCCTCCTGAGGGGGTGGGGCTGGAGAATTGCTCCCCCCAGCTGCCCATGCCAGGGACCCACAGATGGGACGGGACGGGGGCAGGGGAATGGGCTGGGCTGTTCCCGCCCCGCCCCACGGAGGCAGCAGGACAGACCATTGTCGGACTCCGGCTGCCTCTCTTCTCCCAG